CCTCATGGGGAGGGGAGGGGATTAGTACGTTTGGGTAGTCAATATCAGACATTTGCGTGTAGTAAGACTGCAGGATCTCCAGACAGCCTAACTCTGATGTGAACACGTCTTAACTGAATGGCAGTTCTTTTCCAAACAGTTAAACTCTGATGTGAACGCATCTCGGCCGACTGGCACTTCTTTTGATCAGACATTTGCGTGTAGTAAGACTGCAGGATCTCCAGACAGCCTATCTCTGATGTGAACACATCTTAACTGAATGGCAGTTTTTTTGCCCAAACAGTTTAACTCTGATGTGAACACATCTTTGCCGACTAGCAGTTCTTTTGATCTGGTTGTGTCCATTCTTCATGGTGTAGACTGGCAGAGTGAAGTGCCAGTGTCTTGTATGCTATGATATATGGTGGACTACCACCTGGGCTCTGCTCTCTCTGTCTGAGACTACATCTCTTTACATTCAGGTGTGCTTTTATTCTGGATGCCACTGCAGGGGGGGGGGGGGAGGCTATCTGTGAACAGATGATAGGAAGAGGGGATGAGGGGTATAGAGATAGCATTTCTGTGTTCTGTAACCCTAAACCCCCCTCCCACTCTCTCTTTCTTTCTCTCTCTCTCTCTCATACACACAATTCAACAATGGGGTCGGGTAGAGAGTTGTATTGTATATATACCAGTGGGTCGGAGGGGGGGGGGGGCTAGACTTTATTATGAGGTTAACTGGTGTATCTTCTCCATCAGATCACCTGGTCTGTGGCCATCTGTTCTAGGTAATGGGGGATCTTCAGTGCTCTCAGCACACTGCTGTAGTGTACAGTACTGGGTTGATAAGATCTCTCTTAGTGCACCTTGCATTAGATCTACATAGTAATACATGTCTATGTATGTGGCAGCTGGGGGTGGTCATACAATGCCCTGGTCATGTAGTGCCCAGGTGTTTGGGTACAGTTACTAGTAAATGTATGGGTGCTGTGATAATATGTATAGGTACTGTTAATACGACACTTTACAATGACTTGCTAAGGAGCTGGGTCATTATCATAAAGGGCTTCAGTCTGAGAGTTGGGAGTAACTTTTTTCAAGATGGACAAATTGAATCTATTTGTTTCATGATAAATCACAGTTGTTGACTAAAATGAAATGAAAGATTTGCCATTTCGTTGACTAAAATGAAATGAAAGATTTGCCATTTCTTTAAAGTGAGACTCAGAAATTCATTTAAGTGAATAACTGTTAATACTGTTTGAGGGGTCAGAATGGGCTTTAAATATTGGTCTAGAAGTGGGGTCTTAAGTCTGGCCGTCTAGATGTCGGTCTTAAGTTCCCCAATGAGACAGGTTGGAGTGTGAAAGATCCAGAGTTAAGGATATACTGGGGGTGTATTCAGTGCACAGTGCTTAGTGCACAGAACTTCGACTAATTGAGTAATCTCAGCCACTGCGCTGCGGCTGATGGAATGTCACATGAGATGGCAGACCCTGGCTTCCATTGTGTGGACAATGAAGACGAAATGGGTGTCCAAAAAATAGACCGAGCTCGATTGCTGCCTACATGTTGCCTCATCTCCATCTGTTAAAAAAAAAAAGGAGGGGAGGGGGGGAATTATCATTCTTTCAGATTCTCAGTTTTAGAATCATTTAAAATTTATTTTTGTTAAGTATTTGTTGTGCTTTTTCTGCGAAGAATAGGACTATTAGATAGCCTGCCTTTGGGTTTTTTTGCTTTCACTCAGCAAGTGTATTTTAATTCATGAATTTATAACTTTTAAAATACAGTAACTGGAAAAATCACAATTTTTCCCATTGAGAAGATCAAGTCAGTACTGTACTCTTGAAAAGGTAAAAGACTCTAGCCAAGTGATTTGCTACCTCACAAGGTGGCCGAGCTGCTGGCGGCAGAGGGGGAAATGTCACTGAGCACAATAGCACAACCTTTATGTTATTTTGGAGCCAAAATAATCCCTCTGTTAAGTTCGAGGAATGCCTGACAGGTTAATGAGCGAGGAATTTGGTAGAAAACATTTTGTCTTTTTGTTCAGTGATTGAGCTGTTCACTTTGTCCATTTGCTTTGAAACTTTATCAAAAGGAAATAAGGAGGCTTCAAATGATGTACAAATGAGACATAAAATTACATTTTCAAACGATGTGTTTTGAAGCAAGAATGGTTTCTGAAACAGGGCAATGACTCTTATCAATAAACCCAGCTATGTAAATTTCAATAATGGGTCTCAGAAGAAGACAAATTTATGAATAAAAATGTCACTGAGCAAGCAGGAAGGACCAAAAATATGGGATATAAAACAGAGAACAATGTCTTCAAACATCTCATAACTAGCTTCAAATTTAAGTGGGAGTTTCCACCCAAAGTTAAAGTATCCATGCAGCTTGGAGGTCAAATTTTTCTGCTATCTTTGAAGAATCAGACTTGACAAAGCGCGCTCACTCGATAAGAGAACTTGGCGGAAATCAGGGCTATATTTGTCCTGGCCCTGCTGGGTTTTCTGTAAATTGTGGGTTCAGCCAAGTGATGTGAACTGAGGATAACAGAGAAGTTTTTTTTTTAGAGATTTTATAGATATATTCAGCCAGTTTTGAAAATAGAAGTTTGGCAGGGATGAAGTATTCTGAAAATAGCTAAAGTAAAAAAAGTTTTGGCTAAAAAAGGCTATCAAAAGTTAAAAGCCTTATGATAGGTTTTAACACGACATTTGGAATCTTAGGAAAGGAAAATCAAGAAGAACAACAAACCTGTAATCAGACAAAAAGGACGGCCTTTTACATAGTCAATTATTTCATACAAATTCCATGTGCTACTGACAGCAGTAAATTAGTAGAAAATATGTGGCAGTAACAAGAAAAGTAACTCTCCCAAAGAAAATCCCAGCACTTCATATCAAGTATTCCAATACCACAACATGTGTCAGTCGACTGTGAGAGGTGATCTGTCACTTTAGTTGACATCTCGGTGTCCTAATGTCGTCCATAATGTCTTGCCATTCACACTAAGGAATAATTAAACAGTACATTAGCACAGTTAGTGTAGGTGAGCCGCTCAGTGAATGATGTCTTTGCTGGCTGAGATTATACAGTCAATACTTCTTTCGGTTTCGTATTCGATGGTCGATAATAGCCCATGACCAGTTGGGGATTTTTATTTGTATGAGACAAAGATTAATTGAATATAAATATGTCTTCAGGTGATGGAGTATTGTGAAAATTGTTTTTAATATTTTTATTTGCTTAAAAAGCCATTTATGTTTTTGTCCAAATTATTAAAGAGTCTTCATAGATGAAGATAGGTTACCAGCATATTTCTCTGCACTCTTGTTCCAAAATATTTGTCGAGCCTGTGTCAGGGGGTATGCCAGCGAGTTCATATCTCTGTCTCATTTGCTGCATACAAGCTGAAATTGAAGTTAATGGTGGTGTTTTTCTGTGTTTAAAAATAATAGGCCTGTAATGGAAGAATCTGTGATCAAGGCAGCTTGGTAGAAAAATACCAGGTGTGAGAGATAATTTAATTTGGCTGAAGAAATATTTACACTAGGGAAGAATAAATAATTGTAGCTGTAAATGATATATTTTGGCTGAAGGAATTTGAGAGATATTTCATTTTGTTTTTGCAAATTTATGAATATTTATTTGTCCTCAAAACCTTTGAGATAGTTACCCTTCTGAAACCAAAATTATTCCAATGTGCCCCTAAGGAATTTAAAGGTTGCTGAGTATATAATATAATTGGTCAACATGGACGTCTTTGGGCAGGTCTTGTTTTATTTTCTGCCTCGATGCCCTGCTGGCGTGTCTCTGATAATGATAGGGTAAAGAATCATCAGGTGGGATGTTTATCTGGTGGTCAGGGAATACAAAACAAAATTAAAATGCATGTATTTTCCCAACATATGTCTAAAATGAGTGGCAAATTGATGTTTGGTTCAATCTTAACTCTTCGAGGTCACACATTTTAAAACAATTTAAATGCAATCATCCAGAGGTTTAGATTTAAAAAATAATCACAGTTTTGAAAACAAATCACCTGTCAGCTCCTGGGGTACAAGGCAGTTCTCGTGAGGAAGATTTAGTCTGGTTGGGTGTGTAGACACGTTGACTTGACACACACATCAATTAGTGCCCTGTTATGAATTCAGTAGCAGTTTTCTGGCTTAGCAGGGAAGAGGGGGGTGATGGGTGTGTTCTCACAGGTCAGAACATTTGAACCGACCTAGAATTGCCCAGAATGCAGCTGTACTTCCCAGATATTTCTCACTGTGCTAGGTTCGCAGTCAATGGCTGTAACAGGGAAGGCGATTGCAATCCGTCATGGCTGATTTATAACCACTGGTTGTCAACTACCTTAAGTAGCAATTAACTTCACATTGGTTGTGTTTGCAAACTGGGCAGTTCATTCTGAAGAGTAATACATGTGCAGGAATCTTGCAAAGAGGGGAGTTAAGATTGATTAACCTGATTGAGGCTGACATCTAACCCGCCCCGACACCTTTATAGTCTCATTAAGTGGTTTTATGGCAAATATCAAAGCTGTGGATGATGATTTGAATGTTGTGAACCACTAAAAGGGTCTGTGGCAAAACAGATTGCTTTTTTATGGGGGGAGGGGGGGGGGTATTCGAAAAGAAAAGGTTTGCACGTCTGTAAGTAATACTGAAATTTTGAAAGAGTTAAGTCATACTTGTTGTAGAACTTCAACATTAGGCTTGCACCTTTACTGAATAAACTTATATCACATGTAGAATAAACTATTACTGTATGTTAAATTGATATGCACATCATACTGGCAAAGGTGTATACAAAATGTCCCTTCAGGTGAGATACCAGGTCATATTGATTCACAACTCCAACCAGAGTGTAGGCGATCAAGGTCAGAGATAAAAGTATCTTTGATGCTGTACAGGCCATTCTGGCTCTGTCTCTGCCTTGGGGGCTGTCAGTACATGTCCACGTAATATTTTTGATTTCAACCCAGTTTCTTCCTCTATTTCCAGGAGAGCACCTGCAGGTGTGTCACCATGGCGACAGCGGGTTGACGTGTTGTACGCGTGAGGTGGAGACCAAGTTGTATAACCACAGTAGAGACGATTACGACAGTCTGCTGGCAGATTCCACCACTTCTATTAGACATATATTTATTACCAAAACTGCTAAGTTTGATGGTAAGTTGATGCATGTGTATGTCTGCGTTCATATGTCCACGCTTGCGTGCACATGTGTGTTAACGTGCACTTTGGCCAAAATGTTTAATGTGAGAATGCATGTGTGTGAGTGCATACGTGTGTGTGTGTTTGAACCCAGGCTTATGACACACACCCTTACATATTGCCAGATCCTTAAGGGTTTCCCGTAAAATAGATGTCTGCATCCGATGTACCCACATTCTGTTTTGGTATGAGAGGGAGTGAGACTGTTTGAATGCTTTCCTTATTGAGGAAATGGCCTTTTGAATAAAAGATTGATTCATAAAAATATTTAAAAAATATAAAATGTAATATTTGCTAGGAAGTTGAAATTTATAATGAGTACAACTTGGTGGTGAAAACAGTCATTGTACAAGTGGAAAAACATGTTTGTTCTTTGACATTGAGGTGTGGTTTCCTTGAAATACTGCTCAAAATATCAGATACAAAATCTTCTTAAAGACATAAGATCCTCACAAACATCCCTTGAGACCCATTTATGCTCAGCAGAATTCTGGACAAGCCTGATTGTTTTTCAGTATTTCTACATGAATAGGCAAGAAAATTACTATCGTATTTGCTAACTTAGAAAGTTATTCACCCCTTACCAAAGCAAATAAGACAGAAATTCATGGATGAGGAACAAATTGGTCCAGATTTTGTCTACTCTGCCACAGTGAGCAAAAGAAAGCTGAGCTGGCTCTGATCGCCTGGTGAATCCTCAGCAAAGGTCAAAAGCCTCATCACGTTGTAGCCTCTAAGGAAAAGTGGGCGTTTTGCATCTTTTTCAAGGTGTATCTGCCTCTTTGGAAGTAATTGGTAGGAACTGTGTCTGGTTTGAAGTAATCTGGATGTACAGACAATTGGTGTTGCATCAAACATCTGGTATATTTGGTTAGCTTGCTGGATTGAATCTTAGAATAATTTAGGAATCTGATGGTATATTTTTGACGGAATTGAATATTTTTTCTACTGAATTTAGAATGCAGTGTTATTTTTACGAATCTGAAACATATAAAGCTCCACTGAAAGCTGAACCCTAATTTTCATCCTCGAACCCTGGCACAAAGGTTATACTAGGAAATATAACATCAAATATATCGAGAGACTCAGGCGAAGCAAAAAAGTATCCTCAACTGTCAGAAATATGAACAGTACCTTTAAGTGTAATCATTAAAATGTGAAGATTTTAAAAACATTCAGTGATTGGTTTCCTTATGGTTGCCCAACAGCTAAAAACCTGTCAGACTTTGAGTATTGCCCTAAATTTTTTGGACCCTCTGTAATGTTAAACTCTGGAAAAGAATTTCACCAAAGTGGCCGTCTGGGACAAGCTGTCAAAGTGGACATGGTAATGGGAAGAGGTTGGTCAGGAGGAAGACAGTTTAAATTTTGGAAGCAACTGATCCCATATGTACCAATGAAATAAAGAACATATAATTTCCTTGTATTGCAACAAAAATAAATGTCTTTTCCAATAAAAAAAGGAGAACCACAAAAATTTTAATTGAGTCAACACACACACAATAGTTTTTTCTCTTCTTAATATCAAAATGATTCACTATTTGCACGAAGTTACTGAATGAAGATTCTCATGAGACAGTAGACAAATAAACCCGGATACTACAGGTGTAAAATCATAAACTATTAAAATGCAATTGGAAAAGAAACTGACACCAAGTCAGTGGCATTAAAGAAAAAAAAAGATTGGAATTTGAAAAGTTAAAAGAACGTGAGAAAGGTTGTAACTGGGGGTCATGTTTACTTCTCACTAAATGGCATTTTAACTGTTCACTGCATCAAACTTTATTGAAAATGATGGGCTGCTTTGTTTTGCCAAGATTAAAAAGCACTTAAAATCATGTTAAAGTCTGCTGCTTGGTCAGATGAATCCATTTCTCCTCAGTCGTACACCTTCAGGGTCTTTAACAACATCTTAAGTGATTCAACTTTTCAAACGGTTAAAGACAGTAAATCTTCAACAGTAGTGGTCATTTCATGTCCAGTGAACAGGTAAAGTACCTGGTCAATGGGACACAGGTGAAAAATGACCACTGCCAGCAGACAGGTGTACAGTGGAAGACCTCAGGCAAAGATGGCCTCCCTGTGATAAGACAGGGAAAGGGTCACTTTTATATTGAAAACTATGACAAATGAATAAAAGCGGGAACTAGAGGGACCTTTTTAAGTTTTAAGTGACATAATGAAATTAAATGACAGGAAACTCAGAATTTATGAAAGAATATTGCTTGAAGTGAGGCTGATGCAAAATGGTCAAATTATCACACAGTGGCTGTGTTGTACTGTTAAGTTGTCCTTTGACTGATGAGTTTTACAGCTGAAAAATGAAACGTTTTACAGTAAACTAGTGGGTGGGTATCGAAATATGGTAACAGGTTTTTCCATTCTTGGGAGGGGAGGTATGTGTATGGAAGTTGACATCGTCCTCCATCTCTTCATCCTTGTGACATAACAGCATATCTTCCATCTAGCCCTAACTTTTCATCTTAGAAAATTCAGCTGCTCCTTCGTCTTGATGACATTGTGTCATCTTAACCAAATTTCAGGAGCCTGTCTGTGACATTGGAGAGACATCACCATGACATTGGAGAGACATTAGGCATTGTGATGTGTTTGGATATCTGTCTGTGTGACATTTATGTGACATAAGTGTGACATTGAAAAAGCATTAAGGTGACATCACTGTGGCAGTTGTCATTCCACCCCATATATATGTTACAGTGTTACAGGGATGTAACTGATAGTTACAGAGCAACAGAGCAGAAGGGATGGTGGGGTGTTGGGAATAGGACCTGGGGGGGAGGGGGTGGGTGATAGGAGGGGGAGGGTGGAGGTGGGTGTTCAGGTATTTGGGGGTAGGGGTGGGGTGATTTGGTAAGACAAATTGATTTTTTCTTTGCCCAAATTTAAAAGTTTTTTAGTGTGTGTGGCTGAAAACTTTCCAGTGCTATTCATGAGCACAGAAACGTATAGTCCTATCACCTTGCTGAGTTCTATTGTCTGAGCCACAGTTGTGTCAATTCACGACAGGAAAACTGAGGAATTGCATTGAAGGTAACCATATTGTGTAAACAGATACGGAACACTCACCACCTTTTAGATTTTTATATCACAATCTCTTTATTTACCACTGACAGCTGGTGCGGAAGAAAAAAAAATTGATATTTTATCCCAGTGGTGCCATGGCTTAAGCAGGCATAAAAGTATTCGCACCTTTCTGATTGTAGTCTGTCACTCTGATTGTAGATGTCTCAAAAAAGTGTGGCTTTCATGAAAGAGATTTAAAGATGTTTATTTTGAATAGATTTTTTATTTATTTCATGATATAGAGGGTTGGTCATAGACAAAAATCGAAGCAAATATTTTCTGTTACAATTTGGAACACACTGCAAAATCCTCAAGTGCATAGAGTTAGTAATGTCTTCAGGGGATAAAAAAATGGCGTCATGGAATGTCTAGTTTTTGTACCACCGTGAACTGCTTCTCAGGTGAGAAAATAAGCCCAGCAAAGACAGCTGAAGTAAAAAGGTGCACAAAACACTTGAATGTGTGTTGTTTCAGTCATTGTGTCCAACACATAACACCGGTTTTAACCGGTCTTTCTTCCATCATCGTCGAGGTCAGCGCCTCTCAATACCCAATGTAGCACAAGCGCAGTGCTGGATCAATGGCTGACAATGTCCTACAATTCACTCCAATCATCGAACCCCTTAATTTATGACTCACGCGTGCCCCTTTATTCAAGTTTGACGCCCCTTATTTCAGAAATCACTGCCCCCAGACAAGCCTCTGTTGATTTTGTATTTAGAGGTTTCTTTGTGAACTGGTTTGGTATTGTGGAAAACTTACTGTTGACAATTTCATAGTCTATTTGTGATGGTTGACAAGGGAAGAAGTAACCAGTGCATTGCCTGTCTGTTGTAACCAGCTGTTACGTGTATTGATATCCAAGGCGATGTTTTTGGCCGAGCTGCCAAATTTTAATTTCTCACAAGGAGAGTAACTTGATATAAGAACTAATTTTTGCGATGCAACACCTTCTGTGTAACCTGTGAATGGGCGGTTCAGTTTTCAAAATATCTTTCACCTATTGGTAACAACCTAATTTTCACCCCCTTTTGTTATCTGTTAGGATTTTTTTCACTTTTGGAATTAGATTTTACGACTACACAAGCAGATATAATGACTTGACATCTTGTTTCTGTCATTTCTGTCAAAGCTTTCGTTTCAATATTTTTGTAAGGTTATTTCAAAATATAAAAGATGTTCTATGAAGGATCTTATCCATAACGTGTTTTTCAGTTTCATTGTAAGAGCACCTCTCTGTTGGGAACAATTTTTGTATTGACAACCACTGTGTTGTTGTTGAGCTGAAATGATTGAACGTTTAGAATGAAATCATTCATGATCTGAAGTGCAACTGATATATGTTTTTGTAGTTTGAAGGTTGTCATCTCGCCTGTCATGAAACTTGTCAAATCCCCAGACACAAGTTCAGGTACAATGGTTCTATTATCAAGATCTGAAATTAGTTTCATCTGTTCATTCAGACGTTACTGCACGAAAAAAAAAGATCAAAAATTGGACATGGTGATGATGATCTGAAATATGAAAAGCATGTGTCTTTCTGATGTCACATTATGTCACCATTGTTTATGATATTTCAATGCTGTCATTTGCTTTATCAGCATGAAGACTGAGAAAACAATTTCCCAGTGGAAAAATCTGTCTCGTTTCAAATCTGTATTATTTCATCCAGCAATTTCTCAGTCTGATACACCCACTAGAATATGATTCAAGAATGAATTCCCTCGATAGTAAGCAAAGATTTCTGTCTCCATCTTAAAAGCTGTCTACGTTCTATCTCAATGTGGGCATTTCATCTGGATAGCGATAAGATGAGATATGTTCAGATCTTAACTTGACTTCGTTCACATTCTATTGATTCTGGTCATGCT